CTGAACAGTAAATACTCAGTGCTCGTACTGTACAGTACTGTACACTACGGTACAGTACAAACCTTCTGAAATTTTAGTACCGTAACAAAACATACTGTACTGTAGTAAAAAAAGAGTAAAGCAATTCAGTAACTTTACTGTACAGTACAGTACTGTACAGTTCACCATAAACGATACATACTGTACTGTACACTGTACAGTACAGTATGTCCATAATTACGGTACTGTACTCCACATTCTACAACGGACCAAGTGTGATTACTGTGCTGTACAGTATGTTTTCGGTATGCATGCTGTACCATACAGTGTACAGTACTGTACAGTACAGTACATTCTAGGGGTCTCTACTGTATTTTACCGTACAAAATTACGCTCAGCTCAGCACCATGATGATGTTCTGAAATTTAAATTTCTTGATTGCAGTAAAACATAGTATAAATTATAATATATATATAAATTATAATGGTTAGGCCATGGAGACTTTATTATTAACCGTAACACTTTTTTTTTCATTTTGCTGTATTGAGCTGAACTTGATATTGCTACTGTATCATCACTAAAACACGTAGAGCGTAGCCTGCAGCTCTACCTACGGGCTAAGGTTACGATGTGCTATCTTAGACTCAATTCTTATTACCCGTTCCCTTTTGATTAAGCTGGCTCTCGTAGCAGAAAAATCTAATTTATTTCATTATATTATTTTTAGAAGGACCAGACACTACATATGTACTATTGATGCGATTATGCAAACATAAGGGTAGAGAGTTCAAATTTTTTGATTTGCTATTGGCACAGCATTTTGCATCCCAATAATAATTATAATAAATTAAATTTTTTAACCGAGAGCAACGAAAGTTAGACCAGGAACTACTAATTTCTCTTTAGTAGTCCCTGCTTATGCTCTAGTAACTTGAGCTTTTGTGACAGTGCCAGTGAGAGCAGACGTAATAAGCTACCGTAATGCGAATCATTGTATCTCGATTAGATATGAGCTCGATTTAACTGAATATTTTATTATATTGCTGTCTCTTAAGCAAAAATACGGATTTAACCTTTGTAAA